CCCACCCATGCACCACAGCTCACATCCATATCGCAGCATGCAATCGGCCGTATTTCCCTCTGGATGATCTCCGGCACTGTTGATCGGAGCGCTGACGGACTCTATGGTGGCCATTTCAGTCCAGCGAGGAATTCCACATGGATCTCACAAACACACACACACACGGATGTGGGGGGAAAGCCGACTCACACCCCACCGTTCAAACAAGCACAAACCCAACAGATACGAGCAGCAAACAGAGCATGGTAATTTGTTTCCACCAATAGAAGGCTGTTTAAGCGCCACACCGCCCTGCTTTTCTTTTTATGGCACCGTGCGCTCAGCCGGGGAATCTTGGAATGCTCTACACGAAGACTATTACACAACACCTCGCGGCATCACAAACGCATTCAACAAGCCTGTCGCCAATGACAGAAACACATTTCACCTTCAACTCAGAAGGAGAAACTAAGAAATTGAAGGATTCGGAATGATTGTTTGCAATGTGATGCTGTTTTCATGACAATTAAACTAAATTTTCCCAAAACTCTCATGATTGTAATGCACAAACGTAAAAAAAAAAAAAAAGGTCTCATTTGGATTATATATTTAATTCAATCATATTCAATTATATTATAAGGGACACATTTTAGCTTGAAATCAGAAGGAAGAATTAAGAAATTATACTTTGCATGAGGAAAATTAAGGAATATTACGATTTTTTTGCATTGTGACTATTTATTTTCATGCCCATTAAATAACATTTTCTCAAATTTCTCATGATTGCAATGCAAATAAAGTGTCACACACATAACTATAGTCACATTTTAGCTTGAAATCAGAAGGAAGAAATATTTTGCATCAAAAAAATTAAGGGATATTAGGAGTGTTTGCATTACGACGTTATTTTTGTGACAAAAGTTTACCAAAATTCTCACGATTGTAATGCAAAAGCAAAAGTGTCACTCTCATTACTATAACAGGATAATGAAAACCATCCCATCCACACACAATGCTTTTTTATTTAATTAAAACTGAATAAAATCTGAATAAGTTATATTCAGAACAATAAATACTACAGTGATGTATTACTTCACAAACGTACTTTACAACTTAAATATTATATCTAGTGACCAAACATGGGTTTTTTCATGGCCAAAACAACATCTAGAAAGCAGGGTGTTTGTTATATACAAAGTAATAGAATTTAATGACAGCTTGAATTTTACATAACATTTGCTCAAAAGTCACTGAAAGAAAGATGCATCCACTTAAAATATATTTTTAATAACGTTCACATATGTATGTATATATCCATCACTAAACCCTCAGAAAAACACCAACTTTTCTCACTTTCTTCAAAGACAATAACCATCCTTCAAGACCAACCTCTATTGACCCAAAAACACACTGACTTCTGACAGAAACATCATGTGACGTTTCAAATGCACGTCTCTAAAGTTGCTTTCGAAGGTCTTGCAACCCAATACCGTGAAGCCTAAAGCAACGTTCTTGAGGTTTTGGAGGAAAACACAACCCTGACCATTTGTTGTCCTTCATATGAACCTGGTAAACCAAAGGAGGCTTGATGGTTAAGCTAGTTAGGAAGCCAACACAACATATGCTGGTCTGGAACTCAAAGACTCGTTATATTCACCAAACAGAGACTTCACACAGTCCTCAAGACATCTGAGGAACAAAACCTCAACACATAAAGATATGCATCCCTCAGAATGCATTCAGGTCCATTTCGACCCAGAAGAGACAAAAAAAAGCATAATTTCTAGTAAGAGAAGGAAATTTTGCAAATGTTTTAAGACCATCAAAATAAACTTGTTTTTTCCAGATTTTTTTACAATTATTTTTTTAAGAGATGTAACCATTTAGGAAAAAAGCTCGGATCATTTTGGAGCCAAAATGATCTATGAAGTTATATTAGTGCCAAAAAAATACATATTCAGCCATCTCTCACGCACTTGTAGGACTGAATTTTGTTAATAAACATGAATATGTACATCTAATGATGGACCACTGATCACTTTTTTCATCTGAAAGTTAAATTTCATGCAAGTAAAATGAAATTACTTCGTTTGTTAACTTCTCAGAGTAAAATTGATGTTGTTTTGACTCGGTTTTGTTAGAAATAAATATATAGGTTTCATAACTTTGAGCAATCATGAGTTTAATTCAATTACATTCATTCCAATGGGGTTAATGCTGGTCATTTTTAGATTATATGTTCTTATAAATATCAAATAACATTATATATACACGTTTTTTTTTTTATGCGATTCATGTGTAATTTAACATTTCAAAGAATTTCTAATTTTGAATTTAATAAAAAAAAGGGGTAAATGCAATAATAACATTGTAACATTCATGGGAATTCTGTCCTCGAATGGAAACATTGTGTCCCTATCTCCAATGGTATGATACATATTTGCTCTAAAGATGTTTATTAAAGTGTACCATGATGCTAAATGTTATTTAATCACAATTCAGCATGATATTGAGCTGTATAGACCCACCCCTCCCCCCAAAACCCTCCAACACAACAAAGCCACAGCAAACACACATTCACTGCATGCAGAAGACTTTATCAACATCTATGCATGTGTTATGTGTGATGCTCTGAGGAATAAATCCTAAAAGACATTTGCACAAATCACTTAATGAATGCATACTATATAAAATGGATGCACAAATGATTTAGACACACATATGACCATGCATGACTTGATTCGTAAATGCAACTGAGTGAAAACATTTAAAATCCTTGGACTGAAGGCTGGCTGAGGATAGTTATGAATGAATGCGAGCACTACATCTGCGAAAGACTCACGCAGACACTTCAATATTTCAAATGCATTTATAATTACTCACCAAAACCAGGTGTAAACATGATTCCTAATGCAAACACGTGGCGTTTCAATGCAATGAAAAGCCAAGTGCATTATTATATCAAGCGTGTTTATATAGCAGAACATCAGAAAAACCATGCACATCTCACCCAAGTCTTGTCAAAAGAATAAACGAGCGCTTACCTGCACTGAAAGTTCCCAGAAGAAGTGCAAAAGTCAGCCAGGAAGCGAACATATTCCTCTAGTGACACAAAAACACCCCGGGTTTTCTCCTTTTCAGTGTTTTCTGCTTTGCACACATTTAAAGCGATCGGGGAAACGCGCACACACACACACAAGAGCCCGAGTGACCGTCGGCCTGATGTCCATCCACCGATCGGGCTTTAATCAAACTTTAACACATGCACAGATCCATCAGGAAAAGCGGCTATTCCGACAGAAGCGCCTCCCGGTGCGAAAGAACCGGCGATTTCCACCCAAATCCCGTCCGCGTGTGAAGCTTTCCCCGTGCAAGAGCGAGAATGGCAGGACAGGGTTCGATTCTGACATGCACGGAACTGAACTGAGTCCAAAATGGCTTCGGAGAGCGAAACGCAGCCAGCAGGGAAACCAATTTTCCCGTTCTACTAGGGCGAAGGCTCGGGTCATGAATATTAAGTACGCAACATGACGCCCGCGCTCTGATTGGTAGGCCCTGCGGAGAAGGCCTGGCTCATGAATATTAAATCACTTGCGTGACTGAAGTTTGGCGAGGAGCGTCAGCACGGTCTAATTAATATTCAGCAGGCGTGGCCTCGCCGTAGTAGGATTGGGAATTTCGCAGCAGGGAACCCCGGATGTTGAAACACAAAGAGAGAAATGCAAAGCCTTTGAGCCCATATGCTCAGACTACACAACTTACACAAATACACACACAGCACGACTGTTTTACAGCCAACACTGCGGTATTTTGTGCAAATATGAATATGAAAGTACTTAGTTTTTACTAAAACTGGCTTTATTTTCGTTATGCTATGTATTGTTTGTTATTATTTTGATTTGGAGGTGAACCTCATTGATTGATTCACCTGAATATTAGTTATTGAGATGAAACTCCTAAGATTAAATGTCTTTTGGGAGCTGGTCGAGAATAAAGAACGCATAGAATTGATGGATCTGTATTTTTTTAAAGGGACAGTTCACCCAAAAATAAAAAATACTGTCATTTAATCATCCTCATGTTGTTCCAAACCTGTATGATTTTCTTTCTTCTGCTGAACACACACACACAAAACATATTTTGAAGAATTTTTGAAACAAAACCGTTGACGGTAGCCATTGACTTCCATGGTATGGGAAAAAAATACAATGGGAGTCAATGGCTACCATTGAAATTTTGTATGAAATCATCAAAACTTTGCACATAAATGAAAACTATGTGCATATATAAATAAAATTTAAAAAGAGAAATAAAATATAAAGAGAAATATCATAACCCATAAAAAATAAATATATATTTTAAAATATAAATAAATAAAGCAACTAAATCTGTAGCTATTATGTTACATTTATGGAGAAGTAAGAAAATATTTCAAGATAATAAATTAAAATTTACCTGTACAAGAGTATGAAATAACAAGCAAGCTTGTCTGATCATCAAACAAGCAAACGGAGTTTGTAAACTTAAATTAAAACTCTTTAAATCAAAATGAAATATCTGTGGTGTTTATCACAGGTTGTACTCTTTATCTGAAATAAAAACACTTCTAAGTGTGTAGATATACACTCAACCTTCACATACTGTAAGTTTTAATGTCAAGTGAAGCAGCGCAGATGAAAACAAAACAAAACAAGACTTCACTGACAGTAAAGCTGTTTAATATTTCAGTGCTGTGATTGTATGAATGAAAGACTACTGTACACAGCATACAGTGATTCTTCAGTTAAGGACACTTTTGTAAATCCTTGAAATGTTTTATCAGAACCACACATGATCGCGTTACAAATCCTCAAGCGGAAAACCTCTTTAAAAGTCTTGAAGTGATTCTTTGTTATAAAAAATACAAATAAAATAAAATACTAAAAAAAGATGATGATAATAATAATAAATATAATTAATTGAATATAATTTCCTGATATTAAGACTGTTTATATAAATAAAGTTTGAAATAAATACTTTTTTTTAATGCTTCTAAGTCTCTTATGCTGACCAATTCTGCATTTATTTGATAAAAGTACAGTAGAATTCATAAAATAAAATCATTAATTTAAAATTATTAAAAAATAATATTGTGAAAAATGTTTTCTATTTGAATATATTTCCATCAGCATACTGGTCAGGTTATAAAATAAGAAAAATAAAAGCATTAAAAAATGTTTCTTGAATTAAAATAAAAGTTGAATTAAATAATATAATATATTAAAAACATGTTTTATTGCAATTAGTTACCAAGACATCATTTCACACACATACACACACACACACACATACACACACACACACACATACATACACACACACACATACAATCACACACACACACACACACACACACACACACACACACACAGAGACACAGAGACACACACACACACACACACACACAGACACACACACACACACACACACACACACACACACACACATACACACACACACACACACACACATACATGTATATATATACATATATTTGAAATGGAATTGCAGGAAGCAAATTTTCAGCTTCTGAAAGATTATTTAAACCAGAACCGGAGCAATTTATTGTAGTTATTAGTAATACGATTACAAAACCGTGGCTCTCAAAGCCAATATTTCAGCTAAATAATCAGAAAAAAGATCTGTGTCTCTGTCATAAATTTATAAGACAAAACATTAGTTTTAAATTAAGTTAAGAAGCTAATAGATATATAAGCAAAGAAAGTCACATTTCTTGTTAAATGAGTTTTATCAGGCTGTTTTGCAGCTTTAGCAAACGATGTGTCAAAATATATTCCAGGTAATTACTGTTGACAGCGAAGTGCTTCTGCACTCTGAAACACTGAAACAAACGCAGAGCTATTATTTTGATAATTATATTGTTGTGAAGAATCAGATCCCCATGTCACTGCGAAGAAGAAGACAAACCTCAGGGATTTAATATGAGCAGAAACACTAAGCACTGTAAATATGACTGCTTTCAGAGCGTCTGAGGCGTGTTTCATAAATCTGAGGAGTTTTAGGGCTCGTACAGACGGTTATTTCTCACACTGACAGCAGTGCACAGCTTTTAAAACCACAGCGGACGGCAGCGATTGAGAGACGAGAGACGAGAGTTAAGCAATCGTAAAAAACTGTAATTAGTCTGGGCTGTAGGTTTTGGTTGAGTCGTCCCGTCAGTCGTGTCGATGAAGGCCGGCTGTTTTCCTCTTCAAGGGCACTAAATCTCTGAATGAGATGCCGCTCGGGTTAATGGAATCCGGCCTGTTAAAAACTCCTGAAAGCTGCGTAAAAACAGGTGTAAAACCGGTTGCCATGACGACGGTGACCTGCAGTCATTCTGGAGTTAAAGCGACTTCAAACTCAACAGATGCTGAGAACAATATCAAATGCAAATAACTGTTTTTAAAATTGAAAATAAATAATCCAAACATTAATATTTAAAAATAATTTCACTGATTAATCACATAAAAATGCTCAATTTTTGTCATAAAAAAGGAGAATCTTCCAACTGTAAAGTGACGTAACTCGTGAAGGATCTTATGTCGCTGTAAATGTGTCAACAACTAACTGATGATAAAATTCATTTATTACTGTTTTTTTATTTATATATATATATATATATATATATATAATTATCAATTTGTATCAGTTCAATTTAGTCATTGCAGCCAAGACCATGAAGTCAATGCATGCAACTCATGCAATTTTAATGTTTGCATACACACAAGGATACTGTAAAATTACTTCTTAGACAGAAATTATACACATTTATATATATATTTACTTATGTATTTTAAATACATTATTATTGTTATTATATATAGAATTTTGTTTGCTTACCTTTGACATCTGCATGGTAGAGCGTGGCACCAACAACATCAAGGTTGAATATTATTTATGTAACTTTTTAATATATATTTAAATTTTCATATTTTCTGCTTTTGAGACCTGAATGATTACTGCTGTGAGATGAATCTACTGTGAGATATTTGTATTTAGCTCAACTGGTAATGCACGGCATTAGCAACACCAGAACTATTAACAGACTATTTATATTTATTAATATATAAATTACTTTCTTTTTTCTTTTTTTTCTTTTTGCTTAACTGGTAGAGCACAGCACTAGCAATGCCAATATCTTGCGGGCACATATCAATAAAACATATATCTTGAATGCACTGTAAGATGTTTTTGTATAAAAGCATCTGACAGATGCGTAGAAGCAAATGCACAGGCTACAGTATGGCCATTCATCTCTGTAAAAGAGCCTTGATCAAACATACCTCTACTCACTGAATATAAAGTGCCACACAGCCTTTAGAAACTGAAACACCAACCACCTGTAGCTAATATAAACCCACTGGCACATTGTAAAGGACCTGAAAGAAACCTTTAGATCAGTGCTATTAGAGGATGCGCTGGATTCACTCTTGAGATTCAGGAAGAAAATGACAAAATCTTCCAAAAACCTGAACATTGAGATGAACAGGTGAGCAGAAAACACACACACACTCACACACACAAATAAAGATGAATTTCACGGTTAACAATTTACATTTACATTTAGTCATTTTGCAGACGCTTTTATCCAAAGCGACTTACAATTGGGGATTAGCATGGCATGGTTCAAATCGTACTTATCTAACCGCCATCAATTCGTAGCAGTGAATGAAGAGGTATCATATCGATCACAAGTGCAGTATGGAGTACCTCAAGGCTCAGTACTAGGGCCGTTACTTTTCACGCTTTACATGTTACCCTTGGGAGATATCATCAGGAAACATGGTGTTAGCTTTCACTGTTATGCTGATGATACTCAGCTCTATATTCATCGCGGCCCGGCAAAACATACCAATTTGAAAAACTAGCATAATGTATAGTCGATATAAAAAACTGGATGAAGAGTAATTGCTTGCTGCTAAATTCTGAAAAAAACAGAGGTGTTAATTATAGGACCTAAAAACTCTGCATATAATAAATAACCTAGAACACTCCCTAAGACTTGATGGCTGCTCTGTCAATTCCTCGTCATCAGTTAGGAACCTAGGTGTACTATTTGATAGCAATCTTTC